TTTAGTGATGGCCACCAATTTAGATGGTGTTAGAATGGCTACTGGATTTGAGGGTATATTTTACCACCCAGAACTATAGACAGTAAATTTCAAACATCGATTGCTAGAGAAAAACAGTGAACCTGCGGATAGAAAGACATTACAGAGGGTGGTGAGCACAACACAAAACATTGTGGGCTGTTCCCTGACGTGACTAGACAACATCGCTAGGGCCCGCTGCCTTAGAAGAGTGGGAAAATCCTCAGGAACGACTCACACCCTGGTCAGCACTTCTTTACTCTCCTACCATCCGGCAGGAGATATAGAAGCATAGCCAGCCCCACCAACAGGCTGAAGAACAGTTTCTACCCATGGGCTGTCAGACTCCTGAATGGGAAATAACTCCCATGTATGATAGACTTGCGGGGCCGGCGCGTTGTGCAATAAGTTCACGTGGTGTAATAAGATTGTGTGTTTGTTGTCACTGTGAGTTGTGTCGGGGGGGTGCACAAAGGGAGGCTTAGCCAATCTCATTGTACACATGTTGTACTTTGACACTAAAGATTGATTTGATTTGAAAGAGGGTTATTCCTTCATCATCTGCATGCAGGTTTGTTGTATTGCTTGGCTGTCCATTGTCCAACACAGAATGCTGGACTATATGATCCCTCAGACTCATCCAGGTAGGGTTTTTCTAGCTTCCCTTCATTGTAGGCAACTTCATCTAATATGATAGATTAAGCAAAAAATAATCTGCAATATTTTATAGATTAGTGTGCTACATGAATCCAGGTTACCACATTTTAAGATCTCTTATTTACCATCTTGAAAATGTTAAACTGGTTCATTATTGTTATCATATTTACAATAATCCATTACTAGAACTTGTATAAATTGAATAATAATTTTCTTGGATTTAGCCCATTTTATAAATAGAGATAAGTTTTTAATTCTGGGGAAGAAATCTTAAAAACATTTTTTAGAAAAGAGATAGTGTCATATCCTTCAGATGACATTTTTAAATCTCTATTATCTGAAGCTTAGAATGCATAATAAATTTTAAAGGACTTTCTATACTATATCAAAGTTGTCTATTTGAAATTAACAATTCTGGGTTTTAGAAGTTTTCTGCCTCATTCCAAACTCTTGATACTTTATTTGCCATCTATTTTATACTGTTACATTTATTTAGCATTAATGTTTAGTTCCAGAGATTTTAGTATTCAGCCCATTTTCTTTCATGATAATTATTTAATTTTGTTTGCAATTTCTTGTATCACTGCCAGAATCTATTTTGTGTTTATCAGAGGTGTGTGTGTGTGTGTGTGTGTGTGTGTGTGTGTGTGTGTGTGTGAGAGAGAGAGAGAGAGAGAGAGAGAGAGAGAGAGAGAGAGAGAGAGAGAGAGAGAGAGAATAGGCTTTCTTTCTATTAAACATGACTTTTTAGATCTTTTGTTTTGTCATGCATGGTGTAACAGAATGACCAAAAACCTCTATTTACAGGTAACACAGCAAACATGTTAACTCAGTGTGTAACAACTGGAAATAATGAACTTCATGTGACAAATACAATAATAGAAAACCAAGTGGAAAATAAAACTGCCAATATTGGTGTATCTGTGTTTAAATGCTATGTACCAACATCTCAAGAATGGAAAAAAAGTAATCAAAATGACTTAAGTTAAAATTAATGCAGTTGGATTTAGATCAGACAACAAGAATCAAAACTGTTAAGCTACTGAAGCTAAGCCTCCTTGAATTTTTGGTGAAGAAAGAGTCATCCATAGATGTAGAAAATGCATTGTCCTCACAAATTTCAAACAGGTTTTCTTTAGGGTCATTCTTAAAAATAACCAATTTCAGTTTTGCAACTGCTTAAAGAAAGAGAGAGAGACAATGGTTCTACTTAAGATCAGCCCTAAGAATCATCTCAGTAATATCCTGGGCTAAATAAATACTAAATACTTGGGAAAATAATGCATCTTAAGTGGAGTTCAGATTTGTCTAGTGTGATTGCATAAATGTCACAACTCTTTACTGAATTGTGTGTTGTGATGGTAACTTGCCTCCTCCTCCTCCTCTGTACCAACCACTGCCTTTAAATGAATAAAGTTAGACTGCATCTCCAGATACTGCACCATACCAAATGTATGACTTTATGGAATCATTTTCAAAAGAAGGGGCAAAACAATAGCAAGGAGCTATTGTACTGGAACTACAGTGACTTCAGCATGGAATTTTTAAAACCATATTGATGAATGCTCCTATTCAAAGGGATTCCGAGAAGACGTGGCCAAAGTAGTTCTTTAGATCTTGTCCATCAATCAAGATTACTCAATATCTTTCAAAGTTACGCATTTCCTTTTCTCCAGTGCTAGTCCATGCATCTAGCAACACGGCTTTAATGATTCTAATAGCAAGCATGCTAACAGTAATCTCACAGCAAGGTTATTTTGCTTTTCTTCATTTATTATGTCATGATAAACTTATTTCCCTGAAGTTACAGAACACTGAAAATGCAATTTTGAGATAACTCTATTTCTAAAACCATTTTAGAACTTAATCTGATGCTCTCTTCACTTCTTGGGACTAGAATTCCAGAATTTTGTAATTGGGAATTTTAGGAACTTCATTCCCAACCTTTTGAAGGCATGAGGATGATGAAGAATATTACATATTCTGCTATTTTTAAAAATCCAGATAGCTTTTAAAAGGCATAGGCACTGAAATAACAACAAACTATTTTAGCTTATTATAGTTTTCAAATGGTTACATTCTTAAAATTCCTTGAAGCGTGAATAAATCTACTGCTTTCCATTAGAAAAGTTCTCTTAATATTTTTCTTCCACAATATCTTAACATTCTTTCTTTGACATATGAAATAAACAAGAACACAGGCAGATGGATAGAAAAGGTTTTTTTTTTAAGTACACTGAGATTTCTAGCAGCTTTTACATGATACAAAGGGGAGGGGATAAATAAATAACACAAGGTGCAATCATTACAGGTAATGGGGTTGCTAATTAAACCTTCACTCAAAAACAGGCTAATGCACATCCGTCCAGAAAGAGACTAGTTTAGAAGTTGGTTGGTGGGTAGGTGATGGATTTCAAGTTTAATAGGTAAAATCCTAACACTGTGTCTCTAGCAGAGGTGGAAACCCGTAGGTCTCCAGATGTTGATGAACTACAACTCTAGCAGCCCCAGCCAGCATGGCTAATGGCGGCTGCAATTCACCAACATTGGGACAGCCATTAATATATATAAGCAGTCCTGCAGCAATTTCAATGTTCCTTCACATTTTTTCAACAATTTATTAAGCTAATTACAGAGAGTGTACAGATGTTAGAACAATTGTGCTTATCCAACTCCTGATGTAAACAGCAGCAGTTCTGATTGTTTTCAATCTAATAAGATTCTTTTGCTAGGGAAGTTATACATTCTGGATGTATTCTGATTATTACAATGACTCCCAATGGCTAAAAGAGAAACTACATGTAGAGTTAATTAACAGTATGTTGCTGCACTACTTCTTTTCACTTATTCTCAAGTCAGTAGGCAAAATCAAGATAAGTAATGCAGCACATAAGTTTGGGAGGGTTACCTCTTTCTTCTTTTACTGTTTCATTTTCAACTTCCTCTCTCCTGTATCACTCCCAAATCACAAAGGCACAATTCAAATAGAATGACTATATGGGGAAATAATATTTCTCACCCTTTTCTTTCTCATTTCCAATTAATCTTCACCCAAAGGAGCACCCCAAGTGGTTTGTTGTGATGAGCCTTAAAGATTCAGCTAGTTTCCCCTAATTTCATCCTTACAGTAGCTTTGTAAGAAATTCCTAGCCTGAGAGATGAATTAATAAGGAATATGAGCTTGAGTCTCCCTAGTCTAATTCCAATACTTTGACCATTACCCTGCTGGAACAAGACCTTGGCTGATCTTAGAAGGCAAGTGGGGTTAGTCTAGCTAGCACCTGAGTAGCTACATAGGGTTATTTCAGAAATAGGCTAGATTGGAAAGTTGAAAAACCATTCCAGAAGCAGTGGCAAATTATTTCCATAACACTATCAAGAAAACTATATATATATATGAACATCAGGAGGAGACAAGCTCAATTTAAGGTCTTTTAAACATTATACTAATTAATAGTGTATTATTAAAAATAATAAGAGCCTATGGATCTCCAGCATGCTTTCTATTTTGATCCTCCCAGTGCATCTGCTGTGACTAAAGTCACTAAATTGCAAAAAATCAAATATTTGATTAGTTTTCCTATGCCCGTCCTTATTGTAATCACATCATGCTGGGGGAGGGGGGGTTGCAGTTAATTTCTTTATGGTAATGTTACTAGTTTATTTACCAATGGGTTTTCCATTAATGTCCATAGCTTCCCACAAAACATATCAAGGGTTGCAAGAGAATGGGTTAGACAATTTTGCCCTCCATCAATTATCTTCAGATATTTTTGGCCTTATATAATATTTCATTAGCAGAAGGGAAACCTATTATTCCAGCTTATTCACTTACACTGATACAGTGATTAGTATATTTTTGAAAAGGCCTGCCTCTATTAAAAGTGGAATTATGATAAGAAAATGTAAATTAGTGTAAAACTGGCACAAATATAGAAGGGGGAAAGGTGATTGCCACATAATGCTTTTTGTAAGAGAAGAAAACACGAATGATTTTTAGCTGTCTAATTTTATGACTGACATTGACAAATGAATGCTTGTACAAGCACAAGCAGGCCATTGGCATAAAATGGGTTTATTTCAATTGCTGTATATTATACAGCTATTTTAAAGATCAGTAAATTGTGGCACATACATTGAGAGCTTCTTTGGGGTTTTCCAGTTGAGAATGGCCTGGTATGTACCTATCAGGAAACCAATATGGAGACTGAACTAATCCCTGCTCAGAGGAATCACGTATCCTAAAGCCAATCTCATAATGCTTGTTGATCATCAAGATTTGAAGCCCCACTAGACGCCAAGGCAGAATAGCACAAACAACTGTACATATTCAACACAACAAAATTTATGTAGAAAGTTCACATGTGGAGCTGCTTAATGTCTCAAATTATATCTGTGCTGATATCTGGAGTTGCATAGTTGCGTGGAGGAAAAGTGATTGTTGTCTTCACTCTGCAGTGATATCATCAGTTCCCAGTTCCTATAGTGAAAATACATCCAAAGGGTTACACAGAACAATATGGTTCAGAAATAATATTATTTAGAGTTAGTTTGCCTATTTGTTCCTTTGCTCTTTTCAATACCTGATTCCAGGTTAAGCAACAAAACATGTGTTTGTTAGCAGCCAAGCTTCAACTGGAAGCCATAATCTGATGTCAATTCTGACTTTTTAAACCAGGGGTTCTCAACCTTGGCAACTTTAAGACTTGTGGACTTCAACTCCCAGAATTCCTCAGTCAGCGGGAAAGGGCCAATGAGGGGCTGCCCCCACCCCAACTCCTGGGCACGCACATAGGAGGCAGCGAGCACACTCGGAGTCCCTGCTGACCATCCCTGCTGATCACTCAGTAAGAAAAGAGGCAAGCCCNGATTGGAAATGCCCCAGTTCAAAGGAGAAAGCAGTTTTGTGTTCTGTTTTGTCACAGACAGAACTTTGTTGGCAATCCAAGTTAACACTGGTATTCTTGAATTGTGAGCTCTTAAGAAAGTATTTCCTCCTTGTGTGTTGCTAACAGCCATTTCCAGTGGAGAAAACAGGACAAAGCAGAGTGGGGAAAAATATTTTCCTTTGCTATATTTCCAGTCTGAATTAAACCAAGGCAGGGTCCCTACAGAAGAGCCCTTTTAAGGATTATGTATTAATAGAAAAGCAACTAACTTACTGTACCTCTGTTCCTAAATGCTAAAGCTGTTGCACATAAAAAACAGAGGAGCTCTGATCAACTATTTTGACAGTTTTGCTGTACTGTTGTCTGTGGACGCCCCCATTAAATGCAAGCACGGGATAAACTGACCCTAGTTTTTCTCAATCTTTTAAGTGGCCACAAACTACTGGCAAAAGTGGCATTTGATCACAAGGCAAGGAGGCATCGAGAAATGTTTCCCCTTTTGCATTTGAGCATCCAAGAAGGGACAGGAAATGAGAAAGGGAAAGAGGAAAGACAAAGAAAAAGAAGGAAAGAGGGAAAGAGAGCAAGGAAGGAAAAAAGAAGGAAAGAGGGGAAAGAAGAAGAAAGAAAGAATGAAGAGGGAAGGAAAAAGGAAATGGGAAAAAGGAAGGAAGGAAGGAAGGAAGGAAGGAAGGAAGGAAGGAAGGAAGGAAGGAAGGAAGGAAGGAAGGAAGGAAGGAAGGAAGGAAGGAAGATTATAATGAGAGGGAGGGAGGCTCTGAGAGAAGTCCTGCCAGCACTTGGCCACCAGCAGACCTGCTGCCCTTTTGCCATCCCCTTGCCCCCTCCTCCGCCTATACTGCCATCCTATCTCTAAGGATGCTTTGGTTTCAAAGCCAGGTCTCCTCACATGGAGAGGGAGTGGGCCTCCCTCTGACCCACGCTCTTTGCTCTCCTGCACCCACCATGAGCAACCTGGCCAAGGAGAGTGAGCACAGCAGCAGCAGCAGCCTTAAGGAGGAGGTAAGCGCAGCTGGGCACCCCCTCAGGGAAGTGGGGCTGTACTGGGTTGAGCTGCAGGGTCCTGGTGCCCTGGGAGCTTGAAGGCCAGGCTGGGCGCTTGCCCTCTGCTGCCCAGGGCTCTGGGCAGCCCACGCCACCATCCGGAAGTCCCCTGCACGGCCCAAGAAGGACAGTGAGGCTCCTCTGGTGTACCATGCCCTGGTGCCCACCCCAGTCCCACCTCCTCCACTGGAGACCCCTGGATCCCCCCATCCCCCCTGCCTCCCCTCACAGGCACACCCCGACCTGAGTGACATTAAGCTGGCCATGCCCCCCCCCCAACATTGACTTTGCTTGTCAAAAGGTTGCAAAAGGGGATCACTGGGACCATCAGAAATATGAATCAGTTGCCAAGCATCCCAATGTAAATCACATGATCCTGAGGATGCTGCAATGGTCATCAGTGTGAAAAATGGTCATAAGTCTCATTTTTCAGTGCCACTGTAACTCCGAACAGTCACTAAGCAAACTGTTGTAAGTCAAGGACTACCTGTACTTTATCACTTTTTTCCCTTTTTTTTTTTGGTCATCAAGTTTTTGATACCTTGCTAGGCGATTGGTGGTACTCGAATATTGCCATATCCTAAAAGTGGTGCAATCCGTGAAAAGGTTGAAAAGCCCTGCTGTAAAGCACTATGGGTTGGTATATTAGCCTAAGTGCTATTGCTATTCCTATACTTACCTGAAACATCTGAAGAAAAAGTAGCAAACAAATGTACTAAGATTCCTCTTCGTCTTCCTCTTCTTCCTCTTCTTCCATTTTTTCCTCCTCTTCTTCCTGTCCTGCTTCTGCTTCCTTTCGTTACACAAAATAATGGAAGAATAGTCACACAATGAAGTTAAAAGAAACATCTGTTGTATCGGACGTGCATATTTTCTCATGGAACAAAAAGAAGAAGAAGCTTATGCTACAATGCAAAGTTCATATTGATTTTCAAAGTAACCAAGTTCAGTACTCTTGACATGCCACATATAAACTGGCCTCTAATTCTGACATAAAATTGTGAGTAAGAAAGAATTCCTTCGTTTGAACATAGCATCTACACCATATGCAATTATAATGCATTGCCAGCAATTTCATTTTGCTAAATAAAAATGTAAACTTCAAGAAAAATGCTCTGTGCATTTTATGAATATTGTTTCTTTACAGAAACACATACAGACATAAATAATCCCCCCTTACTGATTAGAACACAGAGACTTTTTTCTTGGTACAAAAAGTCAACTTAATTTTCTACAGTAGTCTATACACATACATGCATGGACTTAAGTACAAAGAGTTGTGTAGAATAAGTCCTTTGACTTTCAAGCCTTTCTATTTAATTAGGCAATTATAAGAAATCTCATCACCATACGGTGTGGGGAGAATGGCTCTAGAACACATTGGAGCAAATAATCTAAATTAGATTATCTACATAGGCATGTTAGGTGGCCATATAAATTTGTTAAATAAATATTTAAAATACAATAGTTGTATAAAAATAAAATAGTTGTATATAATACAACTACAATTGAAATGGTAACTTCAGCTTAACATTGGTTCCCTAATCATCCACAGATATTCACTACCCTCTGAACTCTTTACTTCTGGCCAGAAGAGGGCATTGTGTTAGTGCCTAAATTCAACATGCTTATGAGAATTAAATAAAAATGTTGCTTGTTAGCTTTCAGTCCTAACAGTTATATTCCCAAAGTTAATTTCGAAGAAAAATAGCTGTCACAGCATATTTTAAATACATTTAAAAGAAATGAACAGAGTGAAAAAATCATGTGAAATAAGGAATTCAAACTTGTTACTTGCTGGCTGCTCTTCATCTTGTTCCTGCAACAGACCATGAAAGACTATTGCTAAAGAGGGATTTAAAAAGAAAGCCAAAAAAATGACAACACTACCGTTGAGATACATATGTTATTCTTATTACTGCAATGAAAACCATCAGCATTGCCTGTATTTAGTGACTCTCCAGTTGCATAGCATGGGATTTGTTGCTGGCTATAGAATTCGGCATTTGGTGAACATCAGATTTCTTTTTTTTAAAAAAAAACCCAAATGTTTGTTGAAAAGACAGGTTTGAAAAATTAACCATCTACTGGAGAAGAAATCAGAAGTTATGGGGCAGGTCCTTATTCTTCTCCACTTCTTGCTGAAAGACACTGATATGCTGTATGAAAGAAGTTTAAATATTTCTTCCGTGTGCATGTAGAAGTTACAAAATTTGGCTTATCTTGGCACAGTTTTGGTTAATCCTGTGCCAAATATTGTAAATCTTAGCCTTTTCTTTCTTCTTGTTTTGTTCTGCTTCTAAGCTTCCCCATTACCATTCCTGGTGAAGGAGATCAAGGGCCATGGGTCTTCTGTTGTTTACTTACTTGCCCAGATTTCTATAAGGGTTTAAAGAGGTTGGGTTGATAGGGGACTAGCAGGTAGAAGAGCCAAGAGGAACAGCAACAGTATTAGTATTTGCAGTGTAATTCTGCCAAGGCAATTCTTGACAACAGACTTGCTAAGTGTCATATAATGCTTAATTTGAGTTAAATGGAAAATTAACTTAAATATAAGGAAAGAAGTGACAGAGGGTGTGCAATTTTTATGCCTGCAGCAATGCTGGGAACAGTATTGTTTTTGTTGCAACTTGTTCTTCGCACTGCATCCCATTTCAACTTGGAACTACAGATAAAAGGGCTTATTTTTATTCCTCCAGAAGGGACAATTACTTATCACCCCTTAGCAGTCATTTGCCTGGAAATATGAGGCTTGGAATTATGTAAGGAATGGGACTGTGTATGATAAGGTACAGTTTCATATTGTATCTCCCAGCACTGAAGTCATGAAGAGCAGATTCCAGGGCTACACTTGATCTTTTGGGGAATCCTGAAGGAGCCTACATGATTGGAACTCCATCACAACTGTGGATGAAGCAGATTTCTTTTCAACAATTGTATATCTGTTTTAGGGTATAAACTTCACAACTGCAGGCCATTGTACTACCAATTTTGTGCAAATATATTAACAGAGTATTTCACAAAAAGGTGAGTTTGGTGCACAAAAAACCTTGGGGCTGCCTCAAATTCTCATGCATTCTGGTGAATCCAAACCATGCTATCTAACTGTGCTTGGTAGAAATGAAAATTGGGCAAAAGAAGATGTATTAGCTCTGGTGGGGCTCTTTGTCCGGGTAATTCTCAACTTACAACCGTTTGTTCAGCAATCGTTCGAAGTTAAAACAGCACTGAAAAAAGTGACTTACAACTGGTCCTCACACTTGTGATTGTTGCAGCATCCTTATGGTCATGTGATCAAAATTTGGGTACTTGGCAACCAACATGCATTTATGATGGCTGCAGCATCCCAGGATCATGGGATCCCCGTTTGTGACCTTCCCACCTGGCTTCCAATAAGCAAAGTTAACGGGGGAAGCCAGATTCACTTAACAACCACATGATTCACTTAGGAACTGCAGTGATTCATGGCAAAAAAGGTTGTAAAATTGGGTGTGACTCACTTAACAACTGCCTTGCTTAGCAACAAAAATTCTGGTCCCAATTGTGGTTACAAATTGAAGACTCTCTATAATAGCTTATGCCAGACATGTCAAGCTCGCAACGTCGCATGACGTCGCACAACGTATTGGGACAGTTTTGCCATTGCCGGCAATGGGGGGCGTGGCTTCCACGTGATGCGTCCCGCCCGTGCGCCAGCAGTTTGACACCTCTGGCTTATGCAGTCAAGTAACATCACCCCTGCAGAACAGCCAGGTATCAGCAGGTTTAGTGGAAATCCAACAATTAGAAAATATTTATTTTGAAGAAAGGGGAGCTAAACCACCAAAATCAGTTTCTGGTCCATGAATATAGGAATGCTGAGGGGCGGGGGGGCAAGGGAGAGAGGGAGGGCAAACTAGTAGGGAGAGAAAATGGAAGATGACAGACTGAATTCTGCAGCAGTCACCTTGTTGCAGGTGAGATTTGTAAATATTCAAAGACTCTCATTCTTGCACAAAATGTAGAGGAATAAAATTGAATGAGAAAAGTTTTGAATAAAACTGGCAAGAGAAAGAAAATAACCTGTGCTTCAGTAGCCTCAGCATGAGCTTCACCCTCAGGTGTGGCCTCAACCTCATCTTCTGCTTGTATCTCATTTTCTTCGGTAACTGAAGATTTTTCAGTCTCCTGGCAACAACATGAGTAATATCAGACTCACATGACTCAGTGATGGTCATTATGACGATTTTAAATCATCTGATTTGGTCACTTGAATCTTTAAAGGCATAATTGAGTGATACCTACCTTTATGTTCTGAGCTTGCATACTCTTTCATGTTATATTGGTTAGACACACACATTCATACATTAATGTGACTATTTTTATGATTCAGTCAGGTGTGCTATTTCAAGTTTAAAATGGCTAGGTCTGCAAACTCGTATTTTCTGTTCACATAATGGGAGCACATGATATTTCAAGCATCCTGGAGAGCTGTCATGCTCAAACAGAAGCCTTACTCATGTCTTACTGATGAATAGGACACACAGATATATTGGCAGATCTGGGAGCATGCTTTTCATCCACCCTTAATATTGCACTCATGAGCTAGCTGTGTCTTCTGACTTCCCACACTTAACATGAAAGCCTGAATGTGAAATTGTAGTTGTAATTTGGATCGCCACATGGTCTGGCATCTGGCCTGCCTAGAACTGCTCATAAGTACAACTATATGTACTGTGAGTTTATGCACTGAAGACAAATTCTTTGTGTGTCCGATCACACTTGGACAATAAAGAGTTCTACTCTACTCTACATTCTATTCTATTCTATTCTATTCTATTCTATTCTATTCCATTCCATTTCATTCCACCCCACTTCTGCAATATACATAAGCATCCTATACCCCTGCATGCAAGTAGAAGAATTTCACTGGCAACCTGGTGTCTTTCACATCTTTGCGATCACAATAGCCTTTATAGATAACAAGCAGATAAAACCTATTATTTAAGAATTCTGTTTTTTTTCCCTTGAAACTAAATTCAACACAGATGTGTGCATGCACACACACATAGATTTAAATATTTTTTGCTATATAGAAAAGAAAAGAAATATATTGCCTCTGCAATTTTGTTCTCTTCTCCAGAAATATCCCCATTTGGCACAGTCAATACTTCCTCTGTAATCCTTCCTTCCTGTGCAAAAGGATACAAATAATATTTGAAATCTTCTCAAAAACAGGTAGAAGCAAGTGAGCCAGGCAGTTTCATGGCCTGAACACAATGCAGTGATAGACTCAGCATATTTAGCTGCATTCTTAGGCCTTAAAATATAGCAGAAACCAGAGCAATTACAGGTTCTCTAACTTTTGCTGCTTATTATCTGACTCTCTGGAATACACAACATCAAAATGAATAGAAGGCATAGAATAACTTAGAGAAAACACTGAAGCATTATCTCATCCTTCATTGATAGGCAATGCACTTCTTTGGTTATGATAATCCTTATATAGACTTCATTGGGCAGAATGAGGATATTGCCTCAGGCAACAGATGCTAAAGACAGAGTGGCTGGATTCATACATTACACCTAAGGTATGAATGATGGTTTGCAAATGGCAATGGTTAGGCTTGGGTTTGATCCAAACCCAAACAAGCTATGTTATTGCTTAGTGCAGTATGTGAACTCAGCCAAGAATCCATGGATATGTTGGTATTTTGGGAGGAGGGAGATGGTGGTCAAGGCCAGTTCCTCATCTTTTGAAAGATAGAGCTGTTGAGTAGTGTATGTTGTAGGCTTCCTGCACTCCTTAAACTAAACTATTCTCAGTAGACGACCTGTCCTATGAATAATGAAATGTAAAGTATTTTGATTGTTTTTACAGAATGTACATCTTCCATAATGTCATCATAACCCTGGTATTAAAACATCTTGAGTAGGCATATCATTTTTAAAAACAATGCAATATTACCAAACTGTATCCCTACTTTTGACTATCCAGGGAAATTCCAAGTGCAGATTAGTGCAGAAATGCTATACTCGTTAGGATTAAGAAGGAATGTTGTTGTTGTTGTTAGTTGCGAAGTCGTGTCCAACCCATCGCGACCCCATGGACAACGTTCCTCCAGGCCTTCCTGTCCTCTACTATCTTCTGGAGTCCATTTAAGTTCACGCCTACTGCTTCAGTGACTCCATCCAGCCACCTCATTCTCTGTTGTCCCCTTCTTCTGTTGCCCTCAATCTTTCCCAGCATTAGGCTCTTCTCCAGTGAGTCCTTCCTTCTCATTAGGTGGCCAAAGTATTTGAAGAAGGAATGTAAATTAGCATTAATCAAACTGAATACTGATGCCAGAAACAGGTTTTGAGAGGTAAGCTGCATTTTACATGAAAACACTTTCCTTTTCGAATGAACGAGAATTGTTTGTCCTGCATAGAATTTATGTATTCATTATAACTACATTGGTATTTATTTTCAATGATAATGAATTTTAAGTTTGTTTTTTTTAGGATTCTTGCTCTGTTTGACTTAAAAAAAAAGTAATCTTGTTTTCCCTTTAATTTATTATCCCCCTTATAGAAGTGTAGACTTGCATGTACTGTTCAGTATATACATTAATTGTCCTTAAGAAAAGATTCTGACAGCAGAAATATTAGTCTATCCTTGCAGGACATCCAGCTGTCCCATATAATCACTGTGTTTCAAATTACATTAATTGCATTACAAGGGTGGAAAGAAAATTTTCAGAAATTTAATTTAGCACACAAATGTGGTGAAAGATTATTAGGAAATACAGTATATTCCACCCAACCCTTTTTCTGTTTCCCTCACTTCCCTTTATAATCTTACAATATGTCCATGCTACTGTCCTTTAAAGCAGAGCTGGGGAACAATGGCCCCTTTATGACTTGTGGACTTCAACTCCCAGCTCAAGAATTCTGGGAGCTGAAGTCCACAAGTCATAAAAGTTCCATCATTCTCCACCCCTGCTTTAAGGTTATCAGAAAAAGGGGACATTCTCTTATGGAAAGGAATAATTATTTGGCTTTTCATAAATTTCTTGATATTATTTTAGCTTCTTGATCTTACTTTATACTCTCAGATATCTGTTGATATCTGTTGATCATTTAGTTTAGGGTTTAACAATATCTGAAGGGCCTACAGGTTGCCTGCCCTGGTCTAATGCATACATTTTTTAAAAAGAGAGAGCTGGGAGATGTAGGGCTCACTGGACTATGCAGTGGAACTAAGTGGCCTCCAGCTGCAGCTTCATTTTTAAAAAACAACAACAACAGCATAGCAATTTTATAAGACAAATCAAAAGAAAAATAAGATAAGATAAATTCATACCATTGAGCCTGGAGGAGGAGCAAGTCCTAGGAATGAATAAATATAATTTTCTTCTTTTGCACAGAAAAATGAATCAAAATCCTAAAAAGGAAACAAAAGCACATAAACATGATCTTAGCTTTTCAAATTAAGCCAATCCAATACAGCAAAGAAAAATAACTGAAGCAGGATTGTGGAATGTCACTTATTTTAACTATCCATCTGACCAACCTATTAGCATAGTCTTTCTCTGTTAACATTCTCCTGCATCGTGGACCTAAATTAATTTAGATCAAGGAATCTCTTTCTCACAAACTTTATGAAGCACGTATGTGCATTTCGTAAACACCTTATCCCTTAACCACATTAAACTTTTTTTTTCTTACCCCACAATACTGTTCCTCATTGAATATCTGGGGAGGGAGAGGAATCCCATTTTGTGGCTTCTTTTCACCCGGAACATTTTCTCTCATCCATTTCCGGTTGTCTTCATCACAGGCTATGTCCATTTCCTTAAAATCAATTTTGTTGGCCTCTAAAAAGCCTACTACTTCTTGCTGTTTTTTTTTAATCTGGTTAGATAAGAGAGAGAAAATGAATTGATTATTTCATATTTCAATTTATGGAGGCATAAAAAAACCAACCCTTTATTCAAATTATAGCTGCAGTTGAATATTTAAAAAGGAAACTGAAAAACTACTTGCTCAGAGCAGAGCAGATGCTAATGTGAGAAAGTAAGAGTGACTATTAATAATGGATGTTATTTTTGCAAAGCAAGCACAAGCATGATTATATATAATTACATCTCACTGATTTCAACTTATTGCCAATTTGTGTTTAGAATTGTATTATTACTTGGTAAGTCCAAAGCAGGTAGCTTCATTAGCGAATCTTAGCTGATCTCAGAAAAACTAACTAAGCAAGATTAGTCATGATTAGTTCTTGTAAAGGAGACTGCCAAGATGAAGATAAGTTCTGACTGAGTCTTGACTAAGCTGATATTGCCATACTGATGGCTTTTCCCCCCCAATGATCTCCAACATGGAATTTGCCTTTCAAAGTAGAGTAGGTACACATTGGGTTAATGCGTTAATTGACTTCCCATAATAATTTGGATCTCAAGATTTAAATAAATATCCACGAGATAAGCAAAAAAATATTAAATGTGAGTATTTTAGTCCCTAATCATTAAGCTGTTTATATGTAGCCATAGCTGGGCATGGAAATGAGCATGGATCATTTTTTTAATGCCACAAAAATAGCAAAGGCTAATTGAAGATTGCTATCATTGGACAACAAGCTCTAAATGGGCAGGAAGCAACGGCCAACAACTTTAACATTACAGAAAGAAAACAGAGGCATAGAGAGCTGCATTGCTGGATGTGAAAGAGATAGGGTTGACAGTTGACAGGGACTGCTAGCAGGGATACCAATCAAATGCCTTGTCTCTTTCCCAATCCAGCCCTCATAATTAGCCCTTTGAACTTACATGACATCAACTGTCCTGTAATGCCTTCAGGTGCAAAGGGGAATTCTACCCCATTGCCAAGCACTGAAGTAAAGTTCATCTTTTAATCCAGATGATTTTTAGGATTATGAGAATACAGGATGTTTTGCAAGCCACTTCTTACAAGTAGAATTACTTGATTATATGAGATCTGGTCAGGATAGGCAGTTTATCTTACAATATCGGATAAGTAAAAGAATAAGAGAGAAAATGTCTCTCTACATTGTTGTTCCTGTGGAAGACAAGGTCATGCATTCTTGGAATGCATATATGTAATTCTCCTGTCACAGAATAATTTGTTAGCACAACAGTAACAGAGTTGTTTTTAGCCACCCTGGTCAGCACCCACTTAGCAATGTTCATTTATAAGGAGATGGAGGAATGTCTCACATTTACAGGGCTTGAAATGTTTTAGTTTGGCAAGAACTTTTTCTGATGATTTCCAAGAGCAGAGCACACATCACCAGTTAGGATCATTGGTCATCCATTGTAGCCTGAACTTTTGCAAGTGTTTCACTATTAACCTTAGAGATGAAGCAATAGCTTCATTTGTTTGGTGCTGTCTCCTTCAATGCTTTTGTATATTTGGACTCAGTGGGAGTAAGCATCCAAATCTGAATAAGGAAGACATGAGTTTCCTGAGAAAGAGAGATTGATTAAGGGTATATTTTTCCTGTTCTCTAAACCCAAATCTTGCACTTACTGGATGCAAGCAGTTTTGAAGTAGAAACTGGAAATGATAAGTAGCAATGAATAAATAAATCACCAGAAGAGAAATAAAATTACATTAGCCTATGAACAAACTCCATATGAAAATGTCAAGGTAAATAAAAATATTAATGTACCTGCAACATTGCATTTGTAATGCAATAATTTCAATGTGTCATATTTCTAGGCATTTACAAATAGAAACATATGCATTTAACCCACAAGACCAGATTCAAATCCGGCCCTTAATCTTAATCAAGCCTTCTATACATTTCTTATGACTTCTTTTTATAAATCTAGTTCGGAAACTGTCCTGAGTATCAGGCAGATTTTAAATCAGTCCCAAATGCTAAGAGTACATCCAACAACAACAACAAAAATCAATAAACCTAAATCTTAATTAATGAAGTAGCTTTTACTTGTAAATTAATTTGAAAATTCAACATAGAGAGTTAACAGTACTGAAATCAAGGTCTCTAGTGGCATGGTGGGGCTTATTGGATGAAAGATCGGAGGTCTTAAGTTTCCTTTTCCCCTGGTGTCCTCTCCCCAGTTCCTTGACTCCACATCCTGTATTACTTTCTCGTAATTTCAAAGGACAAAAGAGAGAAGGAGAGGGAGAGGGAGAGGGAGAGAGAGAGAGAGAGAGAGAGAGAGAGAGAGAGAGAAATCCTATTGGCAGTGGTGGGATTCAAAAATGTGAACAACCAGTTCTCTGTGTGGATGCCACTTTTGGAAGTCCATTCTGGGCCTGGGCAACAAAAAAGTAGCTACCGATTCTGCCGAACTGGTATAAACTGGCTGAATCCCACCACTGCCTATTGGGCTATCTTGTAGTTTTGTGGTCTTGAGGAGTGTGTGACTATAGAAAATAGCCCCTCTTTTTCTTCTTCCTTTGTGGAGAGGTAGACCAATCACATTGGAGATAAACAAAATAAAACTGAGCAGAAACAGGTACATTCCTTGACCAGTTAAGGTTACAGTTTACTATAGTTTTCCTACCATAGTGTAGGAAAGCACATTGTGTGTGTGTGTGCGTGTGTGTGTGCGCATGTGTATATGCAAATGTTGGGAATACCTGTGCAGGAAAGGAGGCATCTCTCCATCATTCCCAGTCATAGTTGCAGGGACACAAAGAGCTACCTTTACTAAATCAGATCTTTGACCTATTTAATTCAGATTTATCAATTAGCAGAGGCAGTTGCTCGTCAGATTCAAGAAGCATTTCTTGCAGGGCTACCATAAGGTGTCTGGGATTGAATCTGGATCTTGTTGAATGCAAATCATATTCTTTAGCTCCGAGTAGGAGTCCATCACAAGGGTACCAATGAGAACTTATTACTGCTCATCCTTGCAGTAGGACATGCTGTGTGGGGAGGAGAGATGTGCTTTCTGTGACCCAGAAGAGAAGATACAAACTTCCACTTTTCATTTGCTACATTCCTTTTAAGAATGGAAGCAGCTAAATAAAACAAACAAACATGGTATTGTATGTCAATAAACAATAACAAATGGCTTGGTGTGAAAGCTCAATAAATATAGGTAGTCCTCACCTCAACTTACAACCACAATTGAGCCCCAAATTTTGGTTGCAAAGCCTGACAATTGTTGAGTGATTTGTCCTCATTTTATGACTTTTGCCACAGTTGTTAAGTAAATCACTGCAGTTGTTAAGTGAATCATGTGGTCGTTAAGCTAATCTGGCTTCCTCCATTGACTCTGTTTACCAGAAGCTGGCTGGGAAGGTTGAAGATGGTGATCATAGACCAGGGGTAGGCAACCTTGGCTCTTTTATGACTCGTGGACTTCAACTCCCAGAATTCCTGAGCCAGCCATGCTGGCTCAGGAATTCTGGGAGTTGAAGTCCACGAGTCATAAAAGAGCCAAGATTGCCTACCCCTGTCATAGACACTTGAACAGTGCAACTGTCATAAATACATGCCACTTGCCAAGCAATGTGAATTTTGATCACATGACCATGCATTGATTGTAAGTTGAAAAATGATCATAGGTCACTTTTTTCAGTGCTGTTGTAACTTCAAACATTCACTAAATGAATGTCTGTAAATCAAGATTACCCATATTCTATATATAAATTTCACTTCTTGATTGTTGCCTGGATGATTTCAGGAAGAAAGGTAACAGGTAAAAATTTAAAATCAATATATACAGTAGTTGAATCTGTTCCAATGAGACTACTCATCAAATTACCTTGACTGAAGATTTGATCTTCACAACAAATTGTTTCATTGTACAATTACTAAAGCATCGATAATTTTGTACCCATAGGACCATTAATATTGTCATATTGCTGTGTTTTTTATAGGATTTCTTGGACAGTTCCTATTTTATCGTTATTTTAAAAAATGGTATCTGCAAATGTGGTTAAAATACAGTGCAAGAGAAAGGGGTCTATATCAGTGGTGGGAATCAAATATGTGAACAACCATTTCTCTGTGTGGATGCCGCTTCCGGAAGTCCATTCTGGGCCTGGGCAACAAAAAATTAGCTGGTGGTTCTGCCAACTGATGTGAACTGGCTGAATCCCACGACTGGTCTATATCCATTTTGATCCAGGATTCTCAGAGGTGATAATTTTCCATTTTTGTGCACATGTATTTTTATATTCTCTCTATTCTTATAAAAAAATGGTGAGGGAGGGAATCTGTTATTTTAATCCTATCATTTCTTTTCAAGTTAAGCAAAAGTAATAAGGCTGAGAAGAAACTGCATTAGTGTGTTTTAACTATCAATATGTGAAATTTGAGCATGGCATTCCAGGCTAACAGCCCTGTTTGGATATGAATTGTACTTGATGAGCCTGATAAACATGTCATTTTCAACCTAGATTAAATTAATTACCTGAAAATACTACTGGCTTAACTGTTTCCTAAAAGTGACATGGCAAGGTACCTATAAATGAATCTAGTTGTGATCCATCAACCAGAATGGGAACAATATTTTGCCCA